GGCTTCAACACCGCTTCGCTGTGGCGAGGATTATTCTTCGCCCCGGCGAAGCCTGAAACACTAAACTTCTTCTATTTTCAACCAATTTCAAGGCAAGTGTTCAACATATCACTCTAAGGCCAACCAAATAATAATACTAATGAATCAACTCAAAAAGAGCAAAAGAAGAAGCATTAACTACGTACCTCAAGTGGGGCGTTACATACGAACACCGGGACTTTACACCAACTTACGTGTCCCGTGACTCACACCAGCCACGTTCATGTTCACAAATTTTTTTCTAGTGAATGGCCATTCATCAATTATGGACGATCGTTCACTTACGATGGACCAGAGTCCTCATTTAAAGGACGCTCGTTCATCAATAAATGAAATAAACAATATAAACAAAAATAATGGACGGCCGTCCCTAAATAAAGGATATGTGGACACCCGTCCAGTCTTCAAATAATAAAATTTTTATAAACAAAATTAATGAACGGGCGTTCATATATTAATGAACGCCTGCAAATAAGGGACGCCCGTCCATAATGTAAATATAAAAAAAAAAAAAATTTGGACACCCGTCCCTAACTTGTGGACGGGCGTCCCTAACGTGTGAACGCTTGAAAAAAATAATATTTTAAATAAAATAAAGGGACAGTCGTTCACCATTTCTGGAAAGTCATCCTTTAATCAAAATTGAAAGTTTATCGCATACACGTGGCCCAGATATGCATTCACCTCCGCCGTGTATAGCAAACACTGATCACAGCAACGACAACAACATAAGCAATTGCAGCCACAACCAGCCATTGCAAGTTTGACTTCTTCCATCCATCATCAACAGAGGGTTTAAAATCCCTCACATTCCTATTAAAACCGTCCAATGTCTTCTCCTTGAGTCCACTAATCACCGTCTTCGCCTCATCAATCTCTTTCTCCAACTCAGAAATCTTGGCCTCTATTTCCTTGGATTTGCTCTCTGATTACTTCAAACTTCCCTCCACTGACTTCTTCTCAACCTTCCACTTATCCAAAAAAGACTCCAAAACATTAACTGTCTTCTTAAACCCACTAATTTCCCTCTCTTTGTCACCAATTTTTTCCCTCATTTCCTTTGCAACTCTCACCCTTTTACTCTTCTCTTCCAACTCCCTCACTTCCAAAGTCCCAACTCCCTCACTTTCTTCTCACTATCAGCTTTCTCACTCTTCAATCCATCAATTTCTTTCTCTAATCCCTCCAATTTCACTCCCCTCTCTCCCAGACTCTTTTTCAACTTTGCCACCTCAGCACTCGCCTCATCTCCTTCGCTTATCGCGGTGATCAGGTCATGTTGGAGTCTCGAAACCTCAGTTTCCAATTCAACCGCTCGAGCAGCAATTGATTCGAAAACTTTCTTATCCTCTTCACATACTTCAATTTCAATAGTTAGTTTTTTTAGTTCTCTCCTTCATTTCTCGGTTTCTTCCTCCAGCGCTTCCGTCTTTCTCGTCAATTAATTTTTTTTTTAATTTTTTAAAACCATTAATAATGGACACCCATTAACATATGAACGCCTATCCATTACTTTTCTTTATAAAAATGTTATTGTTTAAAGATTGGACATGCGTCCATTATATGTGGATGCCCGTCCTTTATTTAGGGACGACCATCCATTATTTTTGTTTATATTGTTTATTTCATTTACTGATGAACGAGCGTCCTTTAAATGAGGACTCCCGTCCATAGTAAATGAACTCTCGTCCATATAATATGGACGGGAGTCTATGGTAAGTGAAGGGCCGTCCATAGTTGATGAATGGCCATTCACTAGAAAAAAATTTGTGAACGTGAAACGTGGCTGGTGTGAGTCACGGGACACGTAAGTCAATGTAAGATTTTGGTGTAGAGTCCCGGTGTCCGTAGCATTATTGATATCATATTGTGGATGCATTATTGAACTTTTGATTGAAATAAACAACAAAAAGTTAGCATAATATAAATATGTTGAATGAAGTGATTCTGGTACAATAATTTAAATCCCAAAAAATACAAAAACAAAAACCCAATAGACGTTTATTCCATTATGAGTAGGCTTAACCACCCTTAGGTAGCCAAGTGATTGAATAGAGACTCTTTTAGTATAACCCAGGAGGTCTTGAGTTCGATTTATCTCGACTGCTAATAACAGTGACCACTGGAGGCTTAGCCGGCAGTACTTTAGAGCTCAAAACGCAGGCTTTCTTTGAGCTTGCTCAAAAGACATCTTTGTATTTTCACCCATTTTCATTTGTGGGCTGTTTCGCCAATCACTTTTTGTTTGCTAACACTCGGGAAGGTCAGTGGGAGGTGGCAAAATTGATTCATTGGGGCCATTCCCATTGTCCACTACAAATGCCATCCTCATCCCCCATGTTTTGTGCACCTCCAAATGGCAATGCATGAACCAAACCCCTATAAAACAACAACTATTTTATTAGAGAATGAATGCCAAGAGATTTTATTATATTCTAATTCATATTCTTGGAGATATATATATATATATATATATTACCTGGGTTATTTGCCCTGAATCTGATAGCGGTCCATCCACCAGCAGGGACGCTAATGGTGTTCCTCTCTACAGGATCAACAAGATTGAATTTCTTTGGGTCCTTCTTGGGGTTGAAATTCCCTAACCCGCTTCCAACTGCGTAGAAATTGAAGCCATGCAAGTGCAACGGGTGGCTTTCCCCGGAAAACATCACCGTATCTTGTAAAACTATTTGTACGGTTGAGTTGTAAGGAAGGCGATAAACTCTTGTCCCTTTCATGGTATGAGGGTTCTTTGGTTGTTCGCCCGTATAGTTGAATTTATTAAGTGGGTTGGCAGGGAAATCGTCTGTGTAAACTCCTTTTATGTTGTAGAAATGAGCTTGAAGGAGCGAGATACTTGGCTCATCGAAAGTGACATTGTTAATGTGAGCGACAGCACGATTGCCAATAACACAAGTTGAACAAGGCATCATTCCAAGGCCAATGGTGAAAAAAAGAGAATGATCAATCTTCAAGGGGACTGTAGTAGGATATTCTTTTGAGTTTAGGCTTCTTAAGGCATGATCAGTAACGTTGTCGACAAGTTGGGTGCTGGCGTTTTCAGAAGCTGCGATTGGGATAGTGACAATGGTGGCTGCATCATCATGACTACCAATAATACCGTTTAACGTGCCAGTGGCGGTTATGTTGCTGTTCAAACGTGAGGCGGCAACCATGAAATTGCCGGTTCTTATACTTGCTGTTAAAAGAAGATTTGTGGTTTGGCCAGGAGCTATGAGAACTGTCTCAGTTTTGTAGGGTTTTGTATATGAAGCATCAACCTCAACCACGATGAGTTCATGGCCAGCAATCTTAAAGTAGAAAAATTCATTCAGTGCAGCATTAATGACTCTTAGCATGTATGTCTTCCCAGGTTCTACATGTAACGTATATCCTCCTGGAAATCATGGAAACATTGTCAAAATATGTGCAAACATAACCAGGGAAGGACCTAAGATTCGATTCAAAGTGATTTAATATATAATCCTATAAAAAACTGAGTAGGGTCATTAGCCCCCACTCGCCCCTTTTAAGAGATCCGTCCCTAGACTTGTGTATGGATTAAGTTAGATATATTACTCTCTGAAGGGCAGCTTGAGACAGGCCCTGGATAGCCATTGATGGTCTGAACATCAGACCTATTGGGAATGAGGCCAGTTTGGAGAGCTTGATTGATGACAGCTTCAACATCTGATTTCCACCATTCAGCTACAAGTAAAAAAAGAGTAACCAAAATCAAATTACAATACACAATTAACAACAATTACAGTAAATTCAGCTTATTATGATTGAATTGGGTAATAACCTAACAGGATGACTTCTTCCTTATGAGGTTTAGGGAAGGGATAAGGAACACCACGTTTGGGCAAGATGACAAGAGCTCCATGGACAGTGGCCCGGAGCCAGAGAATGTGAGCATGATAAAAAAGAGTACCCCTTTGGCCGCTGAGCGTGAAATTATACAAGTAAGTTTGGCCAGGTTGAATCGGGCACTGAGTTATGTATGCAGCACCATCAGCCCAACCAGTCCGAAATTGTTTAACTCCATGCCTGAAATATACATATATATTGTTTTGACTTTGATAATTAAAAACAAGAAGTTTGTGTTATGAAATGGTTAATTACCAGTGGATTGTGACATTGTAATCGGCATGGTTGATGACTTTTACAAGCAGTGTATCGTCTTCTCTAGCAATGAGACGAGGACCAGGGAACATTCCATTGACTGTAACAATGGGTTTAGTTGAACACAATTTAGTGGTGTTCTTCATCACCACCTGAGAGACAGAGACCAGATCCAAGTAGGACGTTATTGAGAATTTAGGGTACGTTTTGGTCCATTATTCTAATACTTTTTTAGAATAATATTTTGAAAAAAGTAAAATTGGGTGGGTATTATGATGTAGGATTTAAAAATTAATAAAAGTACCTCTCTATGTTTGTTTATTTATTAAACACCCTATAATAAAATATTAAAAATTAATAAAAACACCCCCAACCTACCAATTAAATACTGACAGCCAACCACCACTGCCAGAGAGTGGCCGGAGTCATCGTATCGGTCGATATGACCTTTTTCGACCAGATCTACGGTAGATTTGGTCGGAAAAGACCAGATCTACAGTTATATCTGGCCATTGATGGCTAGATCTGGCTGCATTTGGTTGTTAACGATGACCAAAGATATGGTCATCGTTGATGGTCAACGACTGATTACGGCCAAAGATCTAGCTTTTTCTGGCCAGATCCACCTTAGATCTGGCCGAAAAATGCTAGATCAGCGTACTATCGGCCAGATTCAACTAGTAATGCACCATTATACCAGATTCCGGCTAGCTTTCGACGGTAGTGGCAGGAATTTGGCAAATGTGGGTTGCTGGGGTGTTTTTGTCAATTTCTAAAAAAAAATTGGGAGTGTTTAGTTAAATCAATAAATTTAGGGGAAATTGAATAATATAAAATAATATTTTGAGAATAAGAGAATAAATGTATATTTTGGATAGAATAGAAACAAGAATACTGACAAAATTTTGTACCAATCGGAGCCTAATATTAATTATCATACACTATATGTGGGCTACAATAATGCTACTTTGATTTTGGCATTTAAAAAAAAAAAACATATATATATATAGTTGGGTGGTCTGTCACCTCAACTTAATAACATAGATTTGGAAATTAATTTTGTCGTGATAAACATGTCAAGTACTTAAATTAGGTAATGCAAAATAAGGATAATGATACTTGCAAATAATAACATTAACGTGGAGCTTGGTCATAGTCAAAAACTCATTCCAATGTGGTAAGATATAAATTAAACTTTAATAATACAGTTATAAATAAATTTATAATAAGGAATATATTGGGTATAACATTTACAAAAATATAAATATTTATTTATAACGTTTTTTATAATTAATACGTGTTAATTGTGTTTCACCATATGAAATATAATAAATAATGTTTAACAGTGTAAAACACGACCAATAAAATTTACTAATAAACAAATTATTAAGTCAACATAAGTCCAAATATCTCCCAATTAAACTACAATAATATTTCTATTAATGAAACATTTAAAGATTTATCTAGTTTTCATAATAAAACATTGTAGCCAAGAGTGCCAGTTGATCAGCCGGCCACCCGGTGGCGGTTAACTTTATTTATTTTGTTCTTGGTACAATCAAATAATAGATATAAAATTCATTATATAATTTATGAAATGTATTTGTGAGGTATTTTGTAAAAACTAAAACTTTAATTTGATACATTTGATGAATCTTTATGTGAAAATTTTAAATTTTAAAAGTTAATTTCATTTATATATTTGATCATTTTTTAATTGGTCAGGCGGTCGATTGGGACTCTTAGGTGTATTATCAAGAAATCCTGAGCTTGTTTCCCTCGGTTGCTAATATGGGTGACCACTAGAGAATTATCTTTACCATTAACTTTAGGGTCCGTCGGGATTAGTTGACGCACAAGCTGACCCGGACATCCCGCTTACCAAAAAAAAAAAAAAATTCAATGGGGGTCATGTGACCCTCCCTCCGTCTATGCTAATAAAGAGTAAGTAAGACCATCAATTAACTTCATGTTTACATGAAGAAACCAATCAAAAACGTGAAGCGGAAGCTCTGATTCAAACGATCCAGAAAAAAAAACTTTCAGAACGTAGCTTTGATGAAAACCCTAAAGCTCTCTTCTTATGGATTTAATTTTATACATACAGAAACTCACCCCCGCCATTAAAATTTTCTTCTAAGAGCTGTGAGGCAAAACATATATATATATATATGCAATAACCCAATGCATGAGTTTGAACAAAGGACTTACATCGAGCTTGTACATTCGAACCAAGCAGTCCACTGAAGCCGGAAACAGGCAACCGCCGATCACTAGCGTAACGATTGGAATCCATGACGCCATCTGCCCTCTCAGCTCTCTTAATATATAGTCTCAAATGTTTTCTACAGCTATATATAATATTTCTGGCTACTCTCAATGCACAAATCAAACGTGATGTAAAACGAAACGAACAATCTGGCAAATCTTTATATATAATATAACTTGATCGGGAAGCTCTTTTTGCCAGTTTTTACCAGTTAGGTAGTTAGATGGGAATATACGTATAAAAAAATCCAGTTGGGGGAAAGAAAATTATTATTGAATTTCTTTTGCATTACACGAAGTAGTTGTTTATCATCTAGAACATTTTGGAATCAAATCGAGACTTGATGAACTTTATTATTTGAAGCCAGAGTTCTCAACCCAGAAAGAGCATTGATTTTCAACCCAGAAAGAGGTCAAACTCAGGAGATAATGAAGCTTGTTGGTGCTTAATTTTGACACTAATTAATCACACGTAGGAAATGCTTAGCTGATTTAGAAGACACACGTGTATATGAGGGGTATTGGGTTGAATAAAAGATAAAGAACAATGTTTAAAGTGGCTCGCATGCTTAAACAAGTGAATCCTACATCCACTGATATTGTATTAATATATGAGATCAGGTTGCGAGCTGATTTATAGCTTAGAGAATACAAGTAAATACACGAGAGAGAGAGAAAATGTATGTTATTTCAAAGAAAAATTAGCTAATCTACAAACGGGAGATGAACCCTCTATTTATAGTGGAATGAATTGATGTAATGATTACTGAATCTGTGAGTAGGTCAGATTGCCGTGCAAATCCTTCTTTATATCCCGTTGCAAACCTGCTCGAGTGATTTCCTTGACTTGTGCAGGGATTGGACACGTGGAACGTTTCCAGCCTTTCGCTACTTTGGTGCATATCCACTACACTGGCAGGAGCATGCTGCTCACGTCAGCATGCGACGTGGCTGCGTCTAAATGGTTGTAGAACCTATCTAAGCTCTTACCGCTCACGCTGACAAGGTTTGGTGTCAACCCAACTTTTTCAGGCATAACAAAGCTGAACCCATGCAACCTTGTTTTTAAGCTTGTGCATTTTCATCTTCCATTTCTATTGTTTTCAGAAAAAAAAAGTTGAATACTGTTAGAAGTTAAATTTGTCTTGCATCAGTAATTTGACGAGCTGTTATGATATATATACGTGGTTTGACTCTCTCCTCTTTGGAACTAACTTTTGAGACTTTTATCATGCTTTCGCAACTATGTTTGTTTGGAATGATGATGAGTTTGGACCCTCATCCAGAAGTTGTATTTGTCTCACATCGCTAAATTGATGGTTTGGACTGGTGCCTCTCACGCCAAACGTGACAGGAGAGTGTTAGAAGTTGTATTTGTCCCATATCACGCTAAGCTAGTGGGTGGTAATCAGCGTGAGAGGAGGGTGTTAGAAGTTGTATTTGTCCTATATCACTAATTAAATTAATGGACTGTTTAATCTACTATGGTGTATATTTATTTGATAGGTTCCCTTCTTGTACATATGCGCTGATATGACATGATTAGCAATAGTTAAGATTGTTTATTTCATTAAAATATTAATATTAATAATAATTTATAAAATTTAGTTCATTGTTGGTATGTTTGAATTAATGTTTTTATTATTTTAGGAACATTTCGTCGTAATCATGCATTCAGTGCAATCAAAATGTAACGAGATAGTTAATTAATTAATTAATTAATTTAAAGTAAATTATAAGACAAAAAGTTTCGCCAAAATAATGTCATGACGATCATTTATATTGCTTTGGATCTTGCTGCTACTTCACAAACTTCTAGAACACCATTAATTATACTTTTCTTTTTTATTTCTTTATTTTTTTAAACCATTAATTTAATATCACTCTCAGGCCCAATAAACAATGGGCTTGATACCCGAATTTCATAGCCCATTTTTCATTATATTTTTCACTAATCATGTTTTCCAAAATCCCCATTTTAAATATATTTATTTATTTATTTTCCAAAAATTTAACTAAAAATATAAATAAAAAGACCTGCATCACTTTTCATCTTCAACACTCTTACGGGGTGGTTGGTTCCGACAATGTTTTATTATCAAAAAAAGATTACCAGTAAGATAGATAACATTGAAAATTAATGGGTATAAATTATTATTATGTTTGATAGTAATTATAAAATACTTAAATATTATTTTATTGAAATGCCTAAATAATTAATTAATGAGGTTAAAGAATTCATTCAACAAGTTTGGTAAATTGTTATTTGACATCAAAAGGAGAGCATTTGTGTTCGGAGTTTTTATTAAATAAAGATAAAATTAGAACAAAAAGAGGATTACCACGGTAATCTTAAAATGTCACACTCTGAGTCGGTAATTACATAACCTCCTATATCACCTCTCATATTACCTGAATAATACAAGATTACTGAATGAAACATAATATAATAACCTATTAAAAGATAAATTATTGAAATAATCTTGGTACGTCCTGACCATGAGCAATTAGTGTCATCTTTTGGGTTCCAATCTATCACCAAACCATAGTTAGGGGTGTTAAAAAAAAAAGGCAAAAACCGAACCGAACTGAAAAATCTGTTAATCGAAAAAACAGTTCAGTTATGGTTCAAAGAATTCAAAAAACCGGATTTTAGGTTTGGTTTTCAGTTCAGGTGAAAACCGGTTAACCGAAATCAGTTTTTTGAACCGGTTTACTAATATATATATTAAATAATAAAAAAAAAAATCTTAACCCCTAAATTTGTACAATTTCTTTTGTTATTTTCCATTGGGACTTATTTAGTTATTTAATTGTTTTATTATGGATGTTTCATTACGAACTTTTATTTTTGTTTAATTTCAAACTTTTATTTGTATCAATTTTTAATGTATTGTTAGTTGCGGTCAATAAATATATATGAATGTTTAATCTTTATTTGGATATGTATTGTTGATGTTTACAATTTAATTAATTAAAAAAATAATAAGTTTTATCCAATAAAAAGGGGAAAACCGATTAACCGAAAAACTGGTTTTCTCCCTAAACATATTTGGTTTCGGTTCAGGAATTTTTCTGAACTGAAAAACCGGTTTGGTTGACCGCTTTTGAATAGCCCTAACCGCAGTGCCTGTGGCAAGAAAATTCACAGGTCACAATAATGGCCTGACTCAGCTGCAAGCCTCTAACAGATGGGCACTATATTTGTGATGATGTGCACACAGTTTTTGGGTTCATAAGACTTCGGAAGGTGAGAAGGCACTATGAACTTGACGAAATGCCATTGTCAATTTTCTTGCAACTTCCCCAATATTTCCTCATAGGAAAATGATACAGTTATTGAAAAAGGGATATCGAATTCATGCATCGATAGACGTAGCAATCATGATTGTTGATTAATTATGAATTTTGTTTTTAAAAAAAGTGGATAGTGTCACGTCTGTTCGGTGCATGAATTCAATATGCTTTTTCAATAATTGTAACATTACTCTTCCTCGTAAGGTGTGTGCAGAAGTCTTTAACATTTATCCGGCAGTTGAAATTTTTCTATGAACAAGCTCATGATGCCATGAGGAGTTTGTTTATGCTCTTGCGAGCTACTTGAGTTCAACGACGTAGTCATAAATGAAATATAGGAGGAAAGTTAAAAGTATAATACTATTTTAAATTAAAATAAACATGACTCCGTTTGGTTGGTTTTTGGAAATACTATTATTAGTATTCAAAAAAAAGTTAAACAGTAAAATGCCTAAAAACTCATAATATTATCTAATATTATTCAACTTTTTTTAAACCCCCTAAATTTGTTAATTTAATTAATACCCCTAAATATTTTTTCAAAATTGCAAAAACACCCCTAAACCCACATTATACCAGATTCTGGCCACCACTGCCGGAAGTTAGCCGGAATATGATATAATAGCGCACTATCGACTGAATCTGACCGGTAGTGCGCCGATCTAGCCTTTTTCGGCTAGATTCACGGTGGATCTGACCCAAAAATGCCAAATCTAAGGCCGTAACCAGACGTCAATGACGGCCAACATATGGTTGTCGTTGACCATCAACGACGGCCGTATCTTTGGCCGTCGTTGACGAGCAAATGCGGCCAGATCTGGCCTTTGCTGGCTAGATCCACGGTGGATCTGGCCGGCAAAGGCCATATCAGCCCACGACCGGCAAGATCCAGTCTGTCATGAGCCGATACGGCGACTTCGGCCACCCTCCGGCAGTGGTGGCTGGTTGTGATTATTAAATAGGTGGGTTGGGGGTGTTTTTGTTAACTTTCAAAGTTTGATTATAGGGGTGTTTAGTAAATAAACAAACATAGGGGGTATTTTTATTAATTTCTAAATCCTACATCGTAATACCCACCCAATTCAACTTTTTTTAACTTTTTTTTTAAAAACTTTTCTAAAACTTGCAAAAAAGTGAACCAAATGGAGCGCATAAGTTTTGTATTTATAAAATTCTCGTTAATTAATACATTTATAATTATTAGATAATACTAATACATTTTATATTTGTATTTTTTTTTTTTTTGAAAGTTTAAGCTTAAATTATATATTAGGACTTAGGAAGATGAAATTGCCATTACCAACAATAGATTAGTCGAGTGGTAAAAGCTTGGAGTCAAAGGTCGAATCATAAGAACGATTGCTAATATTGTTGGGGTCGAACGATGTGTTCCTACCGAAACTTTGCCTTAAAGACAACGTAGTACCGAAAAAAGTTTGCAAATGACAAATTCCTGCTTTCCATCCATATCTGTTATTGAATTCCATCTATAATTATACAAAAACTAAAATGCTCTTTTCTTCTTCCTCCTCTTTTCTTCTTCCTCCTCTTTACACACATCTCCTTTTCCAAGATTTCATCTCAAGAGTCTCTAATTTCTGTTAACTTTTATATGTGATTCATATTATGTCTTTGATTAAGCGGTCAAATTTTGTTTATGAACTTAAACACAAACCTGGAGCATCTCCCCCCACCAAATCCCACTCTTTCTCTCTCTCTAAAATCTTTAATCAATCAATTC